CTTGGTCAGGTCCCCTCTCTTTCCCCTCTTCTGTGAGGCAAACAATCACCATCCTTTCAATCTCTCTTCACATGAAAGTATTTGCATGCCTCTAATCACTCTCATTGCTAATCTCAGAATCCCCTTAATTTCTACTAGACCCTTTTTCAGATAGGGTGGCCATCACAGAACACACAGTATCCCCAGAGAAGCTGAACCACTGTTTTATATAATGGTATTATCACATTTTCAGTATTACCCTCAAGCCCATTCTTTAAATTGTTTGCTTTTTTTGATCCCATAGACCTTCATCTCCCCCATGACATTCTGGCCCTCACATCCTCTGTGAGTTTTTTGTTTCCCTCCTCCTTTTCCAAATACCTCGGAGAATTCTCCAGTGGGGTGGATGGGTGTGTGATGTTCCTTGGTGCCAGTGGTGGTCAGAATGGGATGAGGAGAAGATAGCCAGCTGGGAGAGAGTAGACTCTACGGCTGCCAGATCAGAGGAGGAGGCAGTAGCTCGGCTGCCCCATGCCAGGGGGAGGCAGGAAATGCAGCGTTTAAATCCCTTCTCATTGCTGCTTGTCTGGCAGAGGCTCTGGGAATGAGTGGAGAAGGCACTGTCCCCTGGCATAGCTTCGGAATACTGATGAGTCTCGCTATGGGATTTAAGGAGTTAATTATATGATTCAGCTCATAAAAAGCAATTGGGTGTCAACAAAATGACTAGAATTCTCTTTAGAATTCTCACGAAGACTTCATGTCTCAGAAGATGTCATATCTATTCAGTACCTTTAGGTAGCTTTCTCAAGAAACCACCTACCTACATTACAGGGTTGATTTAACTACTAACGTTTGCAAAGCTCTTCAAGTTCCTCAGGATGGAAGTATTACTTATGGCTTTGTACAGCAGTTCTCCAACTTGTGCAGTCCATCAGCACCTTCCACACAGAAGTCACTGTCTTGTGTGCTCATCTTAAGGACAACAATGAGCAAGACCATCAGCAGTTTGAACACAAGAGAACCTCTGCCCAAGCAAACACCAATCTGTATTATTGTGTGCAAGACACAGGCTCAGAAAAAGAAACCTTGGACCTCTAGCTCGTCATCTGGGAGTCTTGTTTTCAGGCTCCAGGATGAATAGCACACCATGTTCTATTGCACTCCGCTAGCTGATTGTGGAGCAGGGCTGCACTCTGGAAGGCTGCCCACCTTCCCAGCTGCAGAATGAGTATAGTAATCATGGCTGCTACAAGGAACTTAAATGAAATAGTATTAAGAGCAACTCACCAAAATTAGATAATGTGAAACCATTAAGATTCTGGCTCGCAGAAAGGGTAAATGCACTGTTTGGGGAGGTAAGAGACACCCTGAAGACTGGGTTTTCTGGGTCTAAGCAGGAGAAAACAAAGGGACTGGTCCCGCACTGCTAAACTCTCATGGACTTAGTGACCTTGAGGAGGCATAGTAGAGTCTGCTGCTGATCCTGCAAGCTTCTCTATGTCTGTCCCGGCTCGTTGCCGCCTCCTCCTCTTTCCCTTCTGACCACTTCTGGCACCAAGAAGCATCAACAAAATCAATATTCTAGTCTTACAATCAGCATGATCATTGTTGTTAAATTCATGAAACATTCAGGTCGGTAAATTGTACTAGTATTAGCTATGCACATACTTAAGTATTCATATATATAGTTCTTTTACTCCATTTTATATATATGTCCTAAAAATGTAACTTGGGCATGAATGGTGAACTTCAAAAGGGAAGGTAAGTAAATGAATAACTCTGGTCCATAAAACAATAACAACCCATGTACCAAGATGGGCGTGTCATGGAAGACAGATGGGTTAAAGCTTTTGATTACTTTTAACAACAGTTGTAATTGGAACTTCATGTTATTTTATTTGGCTCTTATGGTTTGCACAAGAGAAGGAATCGCTGGACCTTTAGAAAAGCAAACAACTGGATTTTCATAGTCAGTAACATATGGTAATATTTGCTAGACTCCTAGTGGACCAGAGTTAATCTCACCTCTTGTATAATAAAGGTTTATGATGACAGGTGCTCTGTTTTATGAGGTAATAATCTGGTTCCTTAAAGTATAAACTATGAGGCAACGGAACCATTTCCAAGGAAAGTGGGGCCACGCATCCCTGTAGTTGTAAGGTAAAGTAATCAAGTTACCAGAATGGGTGACTGTATGACAAGTTATGGACATATACTCCCTCAACATGTGCTCAAGCTGTCATGGAAGTTTATGCTTTCAGTGCTGAGGCCAGGTGTTCAATCTCCACATTACAGACACCAAAGCTCTCAGTCACTAGCTACACTTTGTTACAGACTAGTACCCTGGACAGGACTTGAACTTCTCTGGGTCTCAAAGCCTTTGACTAGCTTTTCTAACAAGGTGGAAGACATAACTCATTTGGTATAGTGAATATGATCATATCATCCCTGCTGGTTGGGGCTAGCAAGAATAAAGTCCCCTGTTTTCTCACAGCAAAGAGACCTCATAATTTTTTTGCTAAAAATCCTGGTTTTGATGCCTACTAATGACAATGGTGTTTTTATTTATGTAGCCACAGTTATTTACAGATACTAACATTGTCATTTTATTTGTATGGGAGCAACTATGCTAATGCATATGCTGAATCTTTAGCCCGCCTAGCGTGGATGCATTATTTCAAAAGGCCTGAATAGGGGGTCTAGCTTGAGTGCTCATGTCATTAATAAAATGTGATGTGTCTCCTCTCCTGACAATCCTGACCCCTGAATATTTACTGATCACTGTATTTCTAAGGAGAAATTCATCCTTGGTGCAACTCCAGGGGAATAATTCCATGGAGTTATACCAGGGATGAATATGGCCCATGGCTGGTTTTGAAAAATGTAAGCTGTGTGCAAGCTAACCTCTTTTTTGTTCCTTCTGTTTCTCCTATGACTCTATAACACTGATCTGGGCAGTCGGCCTCAGTGCCAGGGAAATCAGACCGCCCACATCCTCACAAGATGATGTAAGCGCTAGGCCTGTCAGCTGAAATCAGTTGCCACAGGGGGACAAGGCAGAACTAGAGAAACCAGAGGTAAATTCAGTTCTGACACATAATATTTCTGTAAAGAGGGCTCAGAGACAGGAAGGGAATTAGAAGAGGACTGAGGGAGAATGTGTCTTTATTGGAGTAGCAGGGATTTAAAGCAGGAAATAGTGAAGAGGGGAAACTTCAAGGGACAGGGAAGTGTAATGACCTCATTACTGATAGATACCTTCATAGTTTTATTTTTACTACAGTTATGCCTAGAGGCCCAAACTGTGATTGGGATCCCATTGTGATGAGCACTATGACTGTACAAACACACAGTGACAGTCCCTGTCCTCAAGAGTTTACAGTCTAAACAGATAAAACAAATGAAGGGCAAAAGGGAAAACAAAGGCACAGAGAAGTGAAGTGACTTCTCCAAAGTTACACAGTAGGCCAGTGGCAGAATGTACAACCCAGATCTCCTGTCTCCTAGATCAGAGTACCATTATATCATTCCCGTTTGTTCTGTCCAGCAGAGTGATCCTTTTGCTTAGAAATAGTGTAATTTCATTGTCAAGCTCACTGTTGTCATGATCAGTGCTATGGATCAAATTTTACTTCCTTCTTTTTTGTTTGTGCATGGTTAGTATTGCTGTAAGGTGATGGATAACAGTCCTGCAGATTGAAGTCCACTGCTCTGGTCAGTCATGCAGCTGGTACAGCCAGAATAGTGGCAATGCAAGATTGTAACCTGCTCCCCAGTGTGCCTACATCCCTAGCCCACAGCATGCGGAACCGGAGAAGCCACTAAGTGGGCTACTAGGAGCATTTTCAGAACTTCTCCCATCACTGGTCTAGCCCTGTCTCAGCTGCATTGATGCTAGCAGTTGTGGGAATGCTCATATAGATGGAGCACAGGTGTGGTGGGGTGGTGATAAAACACTGATTTACTAGTGTTCCCATTATTGACAGCATCTGTGCAGCTGCACCATTGCTAAGGCAACAGCGAGGGAATTTCAGAAAATGTTCAATGTAGACAAGATCCAAGGGTGAGAAAAGGGCAACACAACAATCGGCAGGGGAGAGCAGCATGAGTGCAGCCCACTGATGTTTCCCCTTCCACCCCTGGGTGGAATAAGCTCTCATCTCATCTAGCAGAATCATTTAAGTGGAGCAACTATGCACAAGCCCAAGTGCAAATTCAGGACAAACAATATGTCAGTTCAAAGCCAGCTTTGTACAGAACCTTCTTCAAGACCCCAGACCTTCGCATGGTGCAGCTGTTTCGTGCAGTGTAAAGTTACCAGCTGAGAAGAAAAAGCAGCAACAGCACGAAGCCCTTTTGGAAGAACAAGACGTCTCTCCCCACATCTCAGGGGGCAGCATAAAAAAAGACTGTATAACTTAAAGGATGTAGAGACCCAACTGCGACTATAAAAGGCTGGTTTCCAAAAGCCCAACATCTCACATTAACTTTAACAAGTGAAAAGGTTACATTTTCCATTTACACCAAACCACGCTACACTCTGCTGCCTGTTACCCTGATTCAGGTCTAGCATGACTGCACAGCTAAGAGCTATAATAAACTCCCGGGCACTTCAAATCCATGTTGCCTGTCAGCAGACTATACCCTTCGCTGATTTTTTTTTTCCCTTCTGTTTTTTTAACCCCTTAAGAGACCCATTGTTAGAAATAAAGCCGCGCCGGTAACAAACAATTCTCCCATGCAAGATTAGATGGAAAGGCTTTCTCTCTCTTTCTCTCTCTCCTCCCTCCCCCCCCCCCATATGCCATTCAACAATTTAAAAAGGAGACGAGAGAGTCACGCACATCCTGCCTCTGAATCAGAAACAATCAACTCGCGAGGACAGAGCCTCCCTTGCGAAGCACCAAAGCCAAATCCGAGCAACAACAAACTAGAGAAATGCTGTTTTCTTGCCACTGTGCATCCCTCGGTGGACGGGCACCCAGAGAGAAATTCTGCAGCACACTGACTCCAATTACCTTCATCATGCTGGGGCAAGAGCATTAATTGCCAGATGAAGGCAGGAAGAGCTTTCTCCACGGCCCCGCTCCCTTCGGTCACCGATGAGGATGAAGCGCCTACAGGCTGTCAGTCTCTCCCTCATGCAGCGCCTGCCTGCTTTGGGACACGTTGCAGCGGAGGCTGGAAGGAACTGATACTCTCCCGGCCGCGGCTGCTCGCGGCTGCTGCTGCTTGCGGGTTCCGATTGCATCAGCGCCCGGCCCCGCCGCGTTCCCCCGGTCGCCGCTAGGGGGAGCAGTCGCCAGAGCCGCGGGACATCCCCTCCCCAAAGAAGCAGCGTCCCCATAACGCCAAGGTATTTCACCCTCCTCCCCCAGCCGCCACTGGTGCCCAATTTCCCAGCCCAGTGGGCGCTGGGAGAGGTCAGGGCCTGGGTGTCATCATCTGCCTGTCCTCACGGGCTACCCAGACAAGGTAGCTACCAGGGCCCAGTTTGGGTCCATCGCTGGTCTCCAGAATGTCCCAGACGTGTCAGTCTACCGCCTGCCAAACGGAGAGGATTCATACCACCAGGAATTCTTTGCACTGAAAATATTTCACCCTGGCCTAGGGGCCTTACTCTTTTTCCTGCCCCTCCTTCATAAACAAGGCTAAATGCTGCTTTGCTCTCTGAGTCATTTCCTCATACCTGCTTTCAAACTGTCTGGACACTCAACACCTCTCAGTTTACCCACCCCTTTCCCCCAGTCAGCACTGCATCCTTCAGTTCTCATTGCAGGTGGATTTTATGCACACTTAACATTTTTTTGCAAAATTTGCACCACTGCAGGTGCAGCTCTTCCAGTGGTAGCAATGGGAGCTTTAATGTGGACAGGACCCAATCTCTGAGCAGAGATAGATGGCACAGGGCATAAACATCAGAGTCCCAACTATATGCACAATCCCACCATTGCTACTGCCAGTTGAGCTGCACCAATAGGAAGTACTGTACAATGATAAGCTATTAGATTTATTTATTTATTTATTTATAAATAAATTTATTTATTTAGATAAGCTATTACCAGCAGGACAGTGGGGTGGGGGGGGGTATTGTTTCATATTCTCTGTGTGTATATAAAGTCTGCTGAGTTTCCACTAAACATCTGATGAAGTGGGCTGTAGCTCACGAAAGCTTATGCTCAAATAAATTGGTTAGTCTCTAAGGTCACAAGTACTCCTTTTCTTTTTGAATAAGACTAACATTCCTCTGAAACCTGTACAATGGTGAGAATTCTGAAGAAAATATCGTACTGTAGACCCAGCCTAATCTCCCCAAATAAGGGTGCCTATTCCCATCTTCACTGATTTTATCTTTTTTCCTTTGTTATCATTTTCATAACTGGTTTACCTCTTCCTGCCTGCTGGTGAGCAGCTGCGTCCAGCTCCAGAAAAGACTTTTCTTTACTGATTTTACTGCCAAGTGAATACTTCAGTAAACTGTTTTGCTCTGCATTTGTATGAATGATTCTCCCTTGAATATATATATATATATATGTGTGTGTGTGTGTAGTTTCAAAAATAACTGGCAGAGCATTGTCATGGGAAAACTCAAATGATAAATAGTAAAAGAACGATGATTTTATAGGTGAGAGTGGAATTACAGGAAAAAAGTTGGCATGCTAATTTTACAAATCCAACAAACAGCTAGTGTCCCGCTAGTGAGGGTTGCAAAGCCTTGTGCTCCAGGAGCTTCCCACCATGCTAGCTGAAAGTAATATGCCTACAGAGTAGGAGCTACTAGTACAAGGACACAGCTGAGAAAAAGCCAGATTCCTACTGCTGCTGCAACAGCTGCTCATCATGACTCCACTGAATGATTGCAAGCAACAGCAATGCCAGAGATTTGCTTTCTTTATTTAATTTACCATTTTAATGACCTTTTAAACTGTAAAAATAACCAGTGTTTACTGTTGTTGGTTTATGTGTGTGCACGCACACATGCTGAAGAGTTTAGGCTTTTGATATTTTCAATTATCTGACATTCTTAAGAGGCCATATACACCTCTATTTATGGGCTCTATTCAGCAGCAGGGGAAAAGTTCCCTTATATGGCACAAAGGTCTGCAAAATATCTTGAACATCTGGGCAGGGTTAATTCCTACATTGATGATAAATGAATTTTACATGAATTTGTAACTCTGCTGTAAGAATATACTTATGGGCTTGAACCATGACAATCAAAGGTCTTGTCTACACTGGATTTTTTCCCTTAAAGCTTCCCATCGTTGCAGCACTATCAGTGATGGAAACTGTAGTGCAGACAAGGTGCCCCAGTAGCTGCCAGCATTTGTACTACAGTGTCACCTAGATCTGTTCTGAGGAGGGTTAGAAAACATTGTGGGTTAGAAAACCAGCACCTTGTTTAGCCTCCCACTCCCCTGTTGCTACCACTAGAGCTGCATGATGGGAAATTTTAGGGAAAAAAATCTAGTGTAGACAAGGCCAAAGGTTTCAAGTGAGAATATTTTTGCAATTTTTTAAAATAGGCTATTTTTATGTTCTGAGAGTTAAAAAGTTGGTTTGGGAAATTTCTTGCCATTAATTGAATTTTTAAAACAATGATCTTCTAAAACAGAGAGCGAAGGATGTTTCAGATCTGTAAAATCTGTTAATAATGTACACAGGCCTCTTACATTTTTTAAAATAATACAAACTGCACAGATAGCATTGCCAGACCCTGGGAATGGGTGACAGGGGATGGATCACTTGATGATTACCAGTTCTGTTCATTCCCTCCGGGGCACCTGGCATTCGCCACTGTCAGAAGACAGGATACTGGGCTAGATGGACCTTTAGTCTGAGCCAGTATGGCCGTTCTTATGTTCTTGTAATAATGTTTACAAACCGGAGACAATATTGACACTTCAGAATCCACATGCAAATTCAGCCTTCTTCCTTCTCTAAGAGGCTGCCAGCAGCAATGCAGACTCTATTTGTATTGAACATATATTGTACAATATAATGAAGCGCTTATAGCCCATACTGTGTGTTCTATGGACAAAAATATAGTACTATTTATTGTTTGTATTGCAATAGCACTTAGGGGCCTCCATCATAGATCAGGAATGCATTGTGCTAGGTATGTGTATGTATGTAACAAATCTGTAACAAAAAAACCCAGTCCCCTGTCCTGAACAATGGTGTGTTTTATTGTAACTCCTTAAACCAGAGATTTTCAAAAGCAGCTATAGGTTTTAGGAGCACCAGTCCCACTGAAAGCCAATGGCACTTTTGAAAGTCTTCCCTTAAAATCATATTAAAATAATAAAACATTCACTTACAATGGCTCCCTCGTTCGTTCTTTCTTTCTTTCTTTCTTTCTTTCTCTTCAGTCTCTCCACTTTCTTTCCTTCATTCCACTTTATCCCCCCGGTCCCCAGTTCCAGAACTGATTTCCCTCCTGCAGCAGCCTGCCTCTCACCATCCGTCTCAGACCGCCCTCCCACGCCCCAACAGTGCTCTCTCTTGCTTACTATCCCTCCCGTTTTTTCTCCATCTCCATTGGCTATCAAGGAAAAACTAACTGGCATTTATTGAATCCAGCATGTATATTCATCACTACTGGAATGTAATACTTCTGCCAAGTTTTCTTTTAAACCATTCATTCCTCACACCTCTTTTGAATTGATTATTAGGGGGGTTTTCTCCCTACTTTCTTTCCCTCTTCAGTTCCCTCTGATTTTGGCCCCTGCAGTATTTTCTTCCTCTTCCTTCTATGTTGCTCTTTCCGTCCTCCTCCTCCTCCGCCCTCCTGGCCTTTCTCCTGCTAAGCCTCTCAAATGTACTAATAATAAAGCTCCCTCATGACTTGATTTTTCAAGATGCTGAGCACTCTGATCCTGATACAACAAAGCACTTAAACATGTATTTAAGTCAACTGATGTCAATGGGACTACTCACAGGCTTCAGTGTTTAGCTGGATTGGAACTGGTATTCTCAGCATCTAGCAAGATCAGGTGTCCGTAGTGCTTCTCAATTGTAGATCTCAAAATGTTTTTCAAAAGAGATTAGATGTCATCCTCATTTTACAAATGGAGAAACTGAGAGACAGAAACTTGCCCAAGGTCCAGGACTCTTCCTCCAGTGCCCTAATCACTGGATCACACCAAAACTGGATTTCTCTCAAAACTTCTCATTCATCCCCCATAGCTAACCTTCCGCCTTGCTAACAGAGTGTTAGGCTATGTTTCTTCTCCAGCTCCTTTTCTCCTCCCTAAGGAGTCCAGAAGTGATTCTTCCCCCTTCCCTTGCAGCTGTAAGGGGAAAAGGGAGAGAATATTTTACAGTTACCAACCCCAAATGTTCAAAACTCATGAGTCAGGCTCACCAAAAATCATGAGACTGGCTTTCAAATCATGCGATTATGTAAAAACAATAGATTTGGGCATCTTTTTATTTACCTTCCACTTTTTAAGCCTAGGGCAGAGGTGAGCAAACTACAGCCCGCGGGCCACATCCGGCCCGTGGGACCATCCTAGCACCCAGCCCCCACAGGAGGGGAGGCTAGTCCCTGGCCCCCGCAGCCTCAGCTTGCTGTGCCGCCAGTCCTCTGGGCGGCTGGGCTGCGAGCTCCTGCCGGGCAGCGTGGCTGCGAGAGCTGCCAGGTGTAGTGTGTTAAATTGCTCCCTGTAGGAATGTGCTGCTTATGGTGTACTACTTACAGCTGCCAGTCCTGGTGCTCTGTTCAGAACCCCGATGTGGCCATCAGGCCAAAAAGTTTGCCCGCCCCTGCTTTAGGGTCACATTTTGAAAGTTTCTTCATAGCCACAGGGGCTAGAAACTTACTTTTTCTTTAAGAATGAAGGCTGAAATCATCACCTAGCCACTTGACTCCTGGAGCTGGGCTTTAAGGAAAACAATAATTATCATGAGACTCATGACGAAGTCACAAGAGTTAGCAACACTGCACTGTGCATAACAGCCAACGTTTTGAGAAAGAATTTTCAATGGACAATTCTGAAGATGAGCATGAGGATCTGTGGGTGATACCTGACAACCCCAAGTACTGGAAGGATTCAGCATTCTTCTGAATTGAAGGTTGATTTCATTGTATGAAAACTAAAATGATATTTTAATTAAAAGGCTAACTGGTGAGAAAAATAACATTTATTTCTCCAAATATTTCTACCCCAGAATATCTAATTTTATTCTAATCTTGGCTTCTCTGATTTTTGCTGGAAGACCTTCTGTAGGACTGGAGAAAAGCATGGATAACAAGACTGCAACAGACTGA